TATATATATATATAACAGGGACATTTACATGTGTACCAAACAATCTCATCTACTAAACATACTTTACATCTAAATTTTCTTATTTTATTATTTACATGCATAATACTTAAATCTTGAATATTATTTAAATAAAAAATAAATAAAGAAATACACAATTAGGAAATAAATATTTAAAATAAAAAAAAAACTTAACATTTTATTATTTAATTTTATTTAAAAAATTCAATTTTGTGTATTAGAAAAAAAATTTAAATATTATATTTTAGGGAGATTTATTTACATATTTGGCCCATCAAAAATAGATAGCTTTTCTACCTATATTTTATTATGCTCATTAAGAAAAATATTCTCATAAAAATTTCATACTATTTATAATGGGCGGCTATTTTGATTCCGGGGCTACGGTAGAGAGAAAAAGCTGAATTGTTCCACCAAACTCCTTGGGAGGAGAGAGAGACCGGAGGACGAGAAGGAAGAGGAAGAAGAAAGGTGACGGTTGGATCGATGCGTGCTTTGGAACGAAATCATTAACCCCTCCTTATATTACTCCACCGACCAAATCTGCATCCTCAGCCACATCGTGAACCTTAAAGGAGTTTTTGCTTTCTTCCCTTTCAATTGGGCATTAGGCGGTGATCGGATTTCCAACCGGCGGCTTGTTCATCTGTCGTATTCTTTTGATTGACAGAGTGTAATCGGCAAATCCGCGGAGATCGAAGGAAGGTTCTGGTATTTTTTTCTATTTGGCGGCTTGTTCGTATTGTTTTGGTTAGGGCAAGGGATTTGTGGAGTTCTTTGTCTGCGTCTTCGTTTTACTGATGGCGGTGATGGAGCCTCGTGTGGGGAGTAAGTTCCGGCTTGGCCGGAAGATTGGAAGCGGATCGTTCGGGGAGATCTATTTAGGTTTGTGCAAGTTTTGACTCACGTGCTATTTGTATTTCTGGGTGGATTTGCCGTTTCTTTTTTGATTGAAATTGTTGTGTTGCTGTTTGCAGGTACTAACACGCAAACAAATGAAGAGGTCGCGATTAAGCTTGTAAGTTTGACTGCTATGGATTCACCCAAAAAAAAAAAAAAAAAAAAAAAAAAAATCATTGGTTAATTTTTTTTAGCTGCTTTTGAGAAGGAGCGTACGATATTTGTATGCTGAAGAAATTGCTCTTTTTTTTTTTTTGGGAGAAGATGGAGCTTTATTTTTGTTGATGATTTATGGTAGAGTATCAGGAATTTGACAATGTCGCAAATCCTGATATTTAGAATGATGAGATTCTTGATCACAAGGGGGAATGAATTTCCACTTTTAACGCCAACTGCATCACAATATATATATATATATATATACATATATATATATAT